CCACGACAGACTTTGGCGTTGACCGTCAAAATGGTAACACATTACATGACAATAACAAAACAATAGAATTCAATAGGCTGCTATAAAATTGAGTTCAAAGTTTTGAATATTTGTATAAATCAATCGAAAAAAGAGGCAAATTCATTCTTAGAGAAGAATCTAGTTTGGAATTTAGGAAGCATAACGTCATTTTTGATTACTCAAAGAAGAGAAGGTAGAATATATATATTTGACTGTTCTTATACCTAATTTCTTTTTATATTAGAAATAGAAAAATAAATAAATAAATAAAAAGGCTGATAACCTTAAATCATCGTAAATTACGAGCAGTGGAAGTAAAATACTCCGTAGCTTCGAGATTTTAAACTTTTACTCTGTTTCAAGAAAGGAAAAAAAAAAAAAAAAACATTTCCTGTCTTTGCATTGAATTAAGTGAGCAAACTTAGTACAAATATTTATTTATTTTTTTTAATTTTTTTTGGAAGCAAACTATAGTACTAATTAAACAGCACAAGAAATAGTACTAGGACTCTAGGAGTAATTTTTTAGCTTAGAGGTTTATTGCAAATCAACCACCAAGACATGTAAATTAGCTAATACTCTAGTGAATCTCAATGGGCCGAGTTGTTGTAAAATAAGTGCTTTGAAGACTAAAAATAATAGAATGGACAATGCATTTGTTTGATCAACATAAGATGGTGTGGCGTGATAAATCACTACCTTTAAAATGAATTCTAGCGCGATTGAAGTTCTCAACTGCATCGCTAGTACGTTCCCTATTTCCGGCCAATTGGGGGTGAGAATGTTAGGAGACGGGGATGGAAAGATCAACATCCACCCCACCCCATTAACATCCTAGCGTTTGACACAAGAAATAAAGATAAGGAAAATAAGAGTGGTATGAAAATAGGAAATTGACTACTAAAATAGGATTATATATGCATCCCATGTTTATTACTCCACGACTCCATATAATTTAAGAATAGGGAAAATTCACATAAATAATCTTAACTATTGGTGGTCTTTTCATATTAATGTCAACTATGAGTTATCATGGAATAATCCGAACTACAGATGGTGTCTTCAAACTATGATCCGTGTTGACTATTATAGAAGGTTATTGAGCCACATGGCATGTTGTGATTAGCTAATAATTTTATCAAATAAAAAAGGGTAATGATATACTCCGTATATAGTTAAGATTTAAATATACTTTCACATGTGAATCTGTGTAATTAATGATAATCTATTAGGGCTAGTGTAGGGAATATTTCAAGCGTTATCTCTTAGCTTGAACCCCACTGTGATCATACACTAAAGTACGGTGGCGTCCAAAGGGAAAGAAGATAGAGCAAAAGAGTCGCCAACAAGTTATTTAGGAACTTGTAAACCGTTCACGAGGTGAAAGTTACACCCCTTAACGATCCAAGAGATCGTCAACTCCATAAGGTCTTGAACCAAATAGGGTTCGGGGATGAAGGTACAAATCCAACCTAAAAGAGATTGAACCTGCCCTAATAATAGGCCTCTACTTTATTCTGATCGCATTCATGTGCGCTTTCTGACTACCATACAATCAATAGGATTAACCCTAAACATGTTTATCTATGTTGGTTGAATATTAATGCACGAATAAACTATTATTGGCGATCACTTGAGTTATAATCAAATTACCCTAAACAAGATTATTAATTATCTTATTAAGCGTGATTACAAGTACCAATTCCCTTTAAACATGCATAAAGGTGTGATCAAACAATAACAATAAATATCAAGCAACATAATATATAATCATCATAATAATAATTATATTCATAAAATTATAATAATAATAATATTCATAACCATAATCATAATCATGAATCATAAAAATAATCATAAGTCATGTTAAAGCATAATAATAGCAAGATCCTAGGCATGATACTAACAAGATTAATAACAAACCCTAGCATGTCACTAAGCAATAAAATCAAATATTTAACCCTAACATGATACTAACATGAATATTAAAATTACCCTAGACATGATACTAGGAAACATAACGCCCTAACATAACATTAGGAATCATAACAACAACCTAAGCATGATTTCTACATAATAATATCAATAAAAACCATAAAAAATACTTACTTTGATGCCTCGTACCTCATCCTAATAACAAAATACACACATTAGTAACTTCAAGGAAAATAATAAACAACAATTAAATTAAATAATTGAAATAGAGATTTGGGACCAAACCCTCAGAAATTAAAACCTTTCACGTCTAGGGCGAAGGCAACTTTCGAATATGGCTAGATGTATGTAAGTCTAATGAATGCGGAATTTTGTATTTGAGAGAAGGCTAGTTTAGAAAATAGAGAGAGGGAAAGAATAATCAAGAAAATCTTGATGAGAGTTGGTAGATTGTAGATGATTGTGGATGATTCTGGGTGAATGAAAACGGAGTTTTTACGACGTTATTTATAGAGAAAATCAGCCAAAAAGATAAAATATCAAAACAGAGTTCTGACGCGTAAAACAGGAATTAGCGCCAAACGCTGACCTTGGCGTCAGACGCTCTAAGGCTAGCGCCAGGCGCCAAGCGTAGCGTCAGGCACTACAACTGGCGTTTGGCGCTGATTTCGAAATTCACGCGTTTTCTTAAAATCAAATAGAAATTGCCGTACAGGAGGATAAAATTGTATTTTTCCTCAAAAATGTTCTTTGATTTTAATTAAAACTCTGAAAAGTCAACAAAATTCAATTTATCAATGCTAATTGAATTAGGAATGAAAAGAACCTTCTAGAAGAATCTAGAAAACTAAAACCATTCCTAATTGCATTAGGAATGATAAATCCATATTAGGCCCCCCTCTAGATCATTGGGCCGTATATAAGGCTCAAACCGGACCCAGTTCAGTAATTTTGCCATAACTTCCTCATTATTCATCGGAATTGGGCTTATAATATATCGTTGGAAAGCTCTTGTCAAGCCCTATCCAACTACACTACTATTGGACCCATATCATGGACCAACCAAACTGTATTGGCTGTTTTCTTAAAATAAGTTTTCAAAAACAGAGAGAAGAGAAAAGAAATTAAAACTTTCCGCAACACTAAACTTTCCACACTTTCACTTCATTCGATTATGATTCGACGCGAAAGGTACTTGATGCGGTTCCAAGGCATCAATATTGTTATTATAATTATTTTTATTGTTATTTTTAGTTTATTATTAGATGACCGAATTTATTAGGATATTTTTGTTAGTTTAATTCGGTTAGTATAAGATAAACTTAACTTTAAAGATCATATTTGCAAAATATTATCTTTACAAGTTAGAGTTAGTTTCCTAGTTAGATTAGAATTTGTTTTACCGATTTTTAGGCTAATTATTTAGCTTATAAATACGTGATGGTGTTTAACGAAAAGTATGATTGATTGATTTGAAATTTATAAAGTTTTACGTAAGCTTGTGCTTGTGTATTCTTGGCCTAGTTTAGGTTTTAAGCTCGTGTTGCTTAGCGTTTCTTGACCGAGACTCAAGATTCCAAACCTTTCAACTGCGATTGAAGGTTATATCCATCAAAATCCATATCAGATTGGTGTGGCTGCTGTTTGACGAGGGACGAGTTTGACAATTTGTGTCAAAAAACTCAGTTTCGAATGTCATATTGATCAACTTGGTTCTCGTGCAAATATTATCTTTAAAGTTAAGTTTATCTTATACTAACCGAACTAAACTAACAAAAATATCCTAATAAATTCGGTCATCTAATAATAAACTAAAAATAACAATAAAAATAATTATAATAACAACATTGATGCCTTGGAACCGCATCAGTACTCATCACTGGGTTTGGTTTTGGGGAGACACAAATGGTTGTCTACAGCTAGCAATTCCTGACTCGACCCGAAGTTACTGAGAGAAACCCGAGCCTGACCCAAACTGAACCCGAACAACTCATATTCGACTCGAATCGACCCAAATTTCATATTTCGTAATAATATCAAATTTTACACTATTTGTGATAGTTTCTAACTCGAAATCGACCTGAAATCTGACCCAAACCCAACCTACTGACCCGAATTGCCACCCCTATAATCTTTCCTCATTATTTCCTTTTTTAGCTTCTTTATATAAGGGCTCTCATTTTCCAATAAAACAAAATAAATTAAAAAAATCAACCTTAATATTCCACCCAAAAAAAAAAAAAAAAAAAAAAAAAAAACCAACTTAATGTCAGTGTGGTAGACATGCGGCAGAACAAAGTGTGGCGATGCTACGTTGCATGCGGACAGGGGTGTCTTGGTGGTTGATGATGTTGATTGATGCTACTTCATTAGTTTTTAATAAAGAGGAAAGGGAATTAGCGGCAGCTGAAAATGAGAATACAAGAGAGATTAAAGAGTGCAATAATGGAGTTAAATGGAGGAGGCTTGGTCAATGTTAGGTGAAATGTGAAAGGAATAGCAGCACGCCAGAGATTGATGCAGGTGGTTGAATGGAATGTTTTATTGATGGCAATTACAGAAATAGGGGTTTGTTTGAAAAATCAAAACAAAGGAGAACGGGAAGTTCTACAGTGGTCGACGGTGGCATTAAGGAGGAGATAGGCAGCAAGGGGGAGAGTGAGGGTGAGTAAGAGAATGGTGAACGCAATTGGTCTGGTGGCGTGTACCAGTGATAGTAGAGCTGGGCTAGGGGAGTAGAGTGTTATTAAAAAACAACCTTAACCTGCTTAACCTGAGACAAGTCATACCGAATCTGCAAATCATTTTTGCATGACACCCCCATAGTTCGGATTATAATCCCCTCAATTGAACCATAAGAGATGTAACCCACCCACCCACCTCTCAAGGTATGAATTCATACCTAGTTCCCAATCAACCTCTATTCAAAAGGTTGATTAAAACATAAACATCCAAACTCAACTGTGTCTTCATACCTAATTGACATAAATTTATGCCCAAGTACGCCACTGAGTCCTCATAAACCAAATCTATATACTCGGGAGTAATATGAATTGCACCTCAAATTAGAGCAAATATAACTTACAATGCACAAAATGGTTGCTCAATGTTTATAAAAGTATTAACTTTTCATTTGCTATAAGCAGAATAACATGGTCAACCATCAAGCTAAATTAAAAACAGGGTAAATTATCACAACCAGCACAATTAGGGGAATATTTATGCATAACTTTAAAACAAACAAATTATAGCTATTAAAAGCTGCAAAGATTTGTTCAAGATTGTTCCTCTGCCTTCAGGATTTGCGGGCTTCAACTTTCTTTTGTTCCTTGGCTGTGGCAAATACGTACAGTTAGAGATTCCCAAACACTTGCATAAACACAAGAGATAACAAAATTATTGATTATGTTTAGTCTTTCAAAACTACCAAAGACCTTACCAGCTTTTTCTTCCTCTCTCTTCCTAGCAGCCTCTGCCCTTTGTTCACGAATAAGTTTCAACCTCTCTGCATATGAGAGTAACAAAGAGGGTAAGTGGATGATGCTTTAACTTGGTTAAGCATACTGTGTTAAAGGTCCCAGAGATGATAAAAATAAGAGTATATATATACATATATGACCGGGGTTAGTAACAACAGGGTTAATTTAAACATCCCATTGAACCAAAAACCCTGTGACCTAAGCTACAAATCCTGAATTAACAAGGATACAAAGCTGCAATCCTCTTCAAAATCCTACACCATGCTTAAGTGATTATTACTTAATCATTGTAATCAGTAAATTATGATAATCAAATCTTCACAGCATCATCCATGAAAAACACCTCCCACACTAAATGACATTTCAGTATTTTACGAGTATTAACTTCAGCACAATAACTTGTCAATTATGAAAATCAAGTATTCACTATTCACCACATCATCCACGAGTACACACCTCCCAATTACCTTAACTTCCTCACCTATAATGATATTTTGAGCACAGCACTTTCTATTTTCTACTAAAAAAGTTATTAAAAGACAGCATTCATTTGAAGAGGTAATAAGTGTCTCTCTCTCTCTACAGACAACACAAACAAAAATAAAGAGAGAGACAAGTTAAAGTAGGACAGTCAAAAAAGCAAAAGATGTCATGAAATCAAAAAAATTACTCCGTACTACGTATAAGTTTTCTGCATCTATGATAAGTGCAAAAAGATCATACAATCAATACAAATATTCAAGCAGCAGAAGTGAGAATATAATCTCAAAACTTACCTAAATCTTTCTTTGCTTGTTCCGTTTTCCCTTGTTCTTGCAGCTTCATGTATCTTTCATGAGACCTCTGTTTTTCCAACTCCTCCCTAAAAAATAGATAATATATACCATGGTCATATTCTGAATAGTGTCGCCATCTTCACTCAAACTACTTAAAAGCATCCATCAGATCCAACCTACTAATCACAGCATTTTTTTTCATTTTTTAGAAAATCCGTTTTTCAGTCCCCTGACATATCTAGGATGGTTGCCACAAAGTGCAATAAACATGCCAAACTTCATAAAAGATGTGGCAATTTATGTAATCAGGCAAAATACTCGAGCAACTTAGTCTCATTCCTGTATGTGAAACACATAACTAGTAGTCATGCCTACTTCTAACCAATCCAAATCAGCTGACAAATGCACAAGATCCCAACCATGAAATAGTCCTAGGAAAGATGTTTAACATGTTCATAAAACTATGTAACAATATCAATCCAGTTATCTCACCAAGACAATGTTGCAAACAGCAGACCTTTATTGGATAGGGCCATCGCACAAGACATACAATGGAATATTTCCAAAAATTATTTTTACCAGATGAAGAGCAAATACAACACTTAATAAACAGCCACAAAAAAATAAAAGCATAACAAAGGCATCAACAAACCTCTCACGTCTTGTAAGTTCAGTTGTTTTGTCAAGCTGTAAAAAAGGAAGTAAAAGTAAATTCCTTGTATTAACCACTCAAATAAAACCAGAAGCAGAAAAAAATTGTACTCACATCAATATCTTTTGCCTTTAGGTTCTGTTTCTTCACCACGTTGGGGTTGTCGATCTCAATGATCCCCTGTGTCCCTTTCATCTTTCGCTGAAAAAAGAAACAGAATGATCACGATTAATACAGGATCTAATAGGGAACAGGACACAATCTAGAAGCATAAATATACAAAATCTATGGGGAACTTTATATAAACAGACAAATTAAAATGGACCAAGAAAAAAAAAATAGAAGATAAAAAGGCTTACTTCAGTATCTTCATCAGATTCTTCTTCTGATTCTTCTTCTTCCTCTTCTACCTCTTCTTCCTCTTCTTTTTTCTGATAAAAAGGTCAGTGAAAATGAATCATAGATGCATTGAACCATAATGATTTGCATATACTTACATATTACAGACTATAATATTATATGACAAGTTAGACAGTTACCTGTCTAAAGGTGCGTGGACGAGAAGTTCCACCTACTGCAGTCATTAAAACAAAGCAAAATTATGTAAGACCTTGCTTCCAAGAGAACTAATGTGAAGTGTACATATACATGCACATGAATTCATCTCCAGCTAAACATTCACAAACACACACAAGGCATCTCCACAGTAAAAAGAAACAAAAATGTGTTCAACAGATGTGCAACCCTATTCAATTCATGAACTACTCACCAATGTGCCATGGTACAAGTACAACCAATGGTTCAAATATGGGAGCGCTGCACATAAGGCTTGCAAAAAACACAACAGACAAATGGACATAAGACGGTTATTATACACTACCCACTTATCAGAAATAGCTTGCTCAGGATATTTCACCAGATATTCCAGTAGAAGTTGCTGTAAACACTTCAAACTGTCGGAAGTATTGGCACAATGAATCTTCTAACCTATAACATATAAAGAGGTAGAAAGCATATATTACTTATAACAACCACCGACCACCCGAGTCCCACTCGTGCCATTCATGAAATAGGGCCAAAGGTATTGTCAATTCTATAAACAAACGAATCGATATAACTACTGGCATCCCAATGCCCATGGCTTCCATGTATAGCAGGGTTTGTGAGTAATATCGATGCACACAACTTAAACCCACAATTCCATATGCACCTAGTTCGAAATCGCATTAACTTCCTTGGTTTTACTCATTACAACCAAAAACTTTACAAGAATCTCAATAACATAATTTCTCAATTGTATAAACAAAACTTACATCAAACAAACTTACGTCAAAATTCGAAGACTCCGTCCATTAATTCATATAAAAGACAAAATCACAAAACAATACGCTTCAATCTTCAACTCCCAATTAGACGAAAGAGAAAAAAATTGCAGGATACGAACAACCAAAACAAATACATCAAACAATCAACAGAAACAGCAACTAATTTCTACAATTCAATTAAAAAAAAACCCAAATATATGTTTGAATGAACCCCACATTCGCAAACCCTAGATTCAAAAAAACTCAATTTTTATCATAAAAATTGAATGGAAAACTTACAAATGTCTTCGGGAGTTGAAAACTGGCGGCGGCCAGTAGGCTTGCCCTTGAATTTTCCTCTTCCCATGGTTGATGCTGCTGTTGTAGTTTGCTCAAAAACTGCGTAAATTCAAAGGAGAAAGGAATTTGAAGAAAGAGAAAATTGGTTGTGAGAAGAATCAAAAGTTTATATAGAAAAGAGTGAAACTTTAATCAAAAATAATAATTGGGGATTATTGGGAATCCTCTTTATCTTCCTTCGTTTTCTCTCTCTAGAAAAGGGTCGATTCGAAAAACCCTAATTTGTACTCCGTATTATCAAACGGAATTTATGCTCACCTCGACAATTTTGATTTTTGAAGTCACTTTGTTTGTACTTCGTTGTTTTGTAGAGTTGTATCACTTGTATGGTTGTTTAAGTTCTAGTGGTGCACAATATCAAGTTGACAAGTAATTTGAATCTTAATCGGATTAGATTTTTATTTGCAATTTTCTATCATCAAGTATATTTATTTTTGGTAGTAAAATAAAATCAAGAAAATTTTATATTTGGTAAGTACGTATTAATACAAACATAATGACATCTTTTTTTTATCCTATGAATTAGGGTCAGTTCTCTTACGTTGAAATTCAGTTCAGTTCAGTTCAGTTCATTTCAGTTCAGTTCAGTTCATTTCAGTTCAGCTCAATTCAATTCAGTTCAGTTCAGTTCAGTAAATGAGAACAGGCCCTTAGCGTATACTTGTAAATAAGATTAAAGTTTGATCAAATCTAAAAATCATACTCTGTATTATGTTAATTAAACATAACCACTTAGGTCATGTTCTGTTCACTTTATTTTTGCTGAACTGAAATTATTTTTACTGAAATAAAATTATATTTGCTGAACTTAATTATTTTTACTGAATTTAAATTAATTTTATTGAACTGAAATTATTTTTTCTGAATTGAAATTATTTTTACTGATTTTCTATTATAATTAAATATGCACTATATTATGGGATGGATGAAACATTTGTTGATCTTTAAAGAATGAGTATTGTACTAATATATACTTGTATAATTTTTATAGTAATGAGTATAATCTTACAATAAAAACTTTTTTTTTTTACAACAAAAACTTAATTTTTCTTTAAATGGAATTTCAGTTATAAGAAAAAAAAAATCATTTACTACTCTGTATTTCACTAATTTTAAAAATGCTATTAAATATCTTTCTACTAAAATTACTTTTTTTTTTTTTTTTTTTTTTTACAACACCAGCCAAATATTATTAAGGAGCAAAAGCCTCCAAATCACCTATTACAGAAATGTTCACTTCTTGAGGATACTCCTCCAACCAGACCTGGATCTCACCAAAATTAAGGGCTTGTTTGGTTGCCTTTAGTTTTCATGGGCACTCAAAATTCCCATGAATTTCCTTTTGGGTATGTTGTTTGATATATATTGAAAAGAAAAAATGGGGGAAGTCACAATTCATGGGAATTTTCACTTCCCACAAAACATGGGAAGTTACTTACCCACCCCTCCCTTGGTCATTCACAATTCCCATGATTTATAAATTCCCACATGACAGCCAAACATATTTATGTAATGTAATACCCCTACTATTTTATTACTCTATCTATATATTTTCTTTAGAAAAGTTTGATTTAGTTTTTACTTACATTCAAATTTACAAATATTTATTTTTCTATTTTAAGTTTCGGGGACGAAACTTGTTTTAAGGAGGGTAGATTGTAATACCCGTATATTTATTAAATAATTATTTTGATAATTTTTTTTAAGTATAATTTTGTAAATGATAAAACATTGGTAACCCTATTTTATTTTAAGTAGAACTCTAATATTTAGAGGTATACATAAACCCTAAAATATGCTATTTTTTTTATCAAATTCTTTACAGAGTATCGAGTGCAACCGTGAGCTAGATCTACCTTTTATTCTTCTTATTGATTGTGTTGGGTTTATGCGTGAATCAAGCAAGCTACACTTGATCTTTCCTTTCCACCTCATCATGAATTCATGCTCATGCATAATTAAAACTCCAAGTATCATTTATTCATTCTCATGACTTTGGTAATATGTATACCTGTTCGTATTTTATATTGTTTCGTCCATCAATACACCATGTTTTGGCTTTTCGAAAGGTAATCACACGAACTTTAGACATGTTTGATATTTCGTATTATTATGTGTGGTAAGATTTATTATTTGCACTCTATATTATTATTATGTGAAAATTTTATAATTGTAATTTGTGTGATCAAGTTCGTATATACATATGATTGATTATTGGTATTATATGATTTGATTGGATATGAGTATCATATTACTTTTATTGTTTATGATTGATTATGTTTTATTCTAGGGTTCTAATGTTGTTTCTATAGGGAGTATTTTATCGAGGTTTTAGGGTTATTAATGCAGAGTATTATTTTGGGTTGAGAATTAATTATTTTTGGGTGCTAGTATTATTTCCCTAAGAGTTGAGATTTTTTTGAATCGAATTGTTACATTATTTGAGATCATGTGTCATTATTGAGATATTATAAATTGTTTGTGAATGATTATTTGATCGAGTTTGAGATCAAAAGGTTGAGGATTATTATTTTGTTATTGGTTTGAGGCTCGGCGTTATAGACCTTAATCCTTGGCATGTTGGTAATGAGATAATGATCATGAGTAAAGAATGAGGTACAATCTTTAATATTTATTTTTCTATGGTCCCCTAGAGTGGGAATTGACCCGTATGTGGTCTGGTTCAAGGTGTTTTCTGGTTATTGGGAGTATTCAAGTTTTTAAACTTGTTGGTTTTATTCGAATTACCCATATCCAAGGCTAGGTATAGAACAATGAGCATGACACACTTATGGGATAGAGAGTTGAGTAAAGGTTTGTATTATTATTCGAGGTTGAGTTGTTAAAGGTTATTTTCAAAGTACAATGTGTAATGTAGTTTCGAACTACATTGTTTAATTGATCTAGTAATGTTAATTATTATATTATACTCTATATTCTGATATGTGGTGATTACTCAACTTTTGCTGACGTGTGTGTTGTTTTATTGTGCTACTTGTGTTTGCGGCCATGTCTTTTTCTCATGGTGGCCCTGCGACGATCTATTTTGGAATTTGTCCTTAATGGTGAGCAGTCAAGTTTGTCTAAGCAGGTTGATCAAGTGGTCGTAGCTAAAGGAGCTCAAGTGTTTCGATTAGTTTGTTATAACAAGTTTGTAAAGTTGTATAAATAGCTCACTTAGATTTATTGGGTTGTAATTATTGGGATTTTTGTAAGCCTTAACACTTGACAGGTTGTTAAGTGTGGCGGTAATACCTCCGATTCAAGTGTATGCTTCCGCAATTTTATTTAAATGTTGTCTATTTTTCATTTATTTATTGTTTATTATTAGCTAGTAAATCGGGGGTGTTACATGCCACTATTAAGGTCTCGCCACGAAAAAATTAAGGAGATTACGAAAAAAATCTGAAAAAGGTAGAATTGAGATTTCATAAACCTCTTGTGATTGGCCACAAATTCTTTACTTTGTGTTTTTCTTTGGTGATTGACCACAAAAGAGCTATTATTGAGCTGCGCTGAGCCAAGCCAAAATACGGATAGGCACGTACTTGGCTCTGAACTGAAGTGTGATGTCATATGGGGCCCACAAACTACCTTCTTACCTTATTTCCCTCATTTTCTTTTTTTTTCTCTCTCAATTTCTCATTCCCCGATATTGTAATGCTCTCAAAATTGGGGAAAAACTTCATATTAAATTACATTTTATGTTAATTATTTCACGAATTGAAATTTTTCCCCAAGTTTGAGAGGAGAACGATACATGGGAATGAGAAATCGATAGAAAAGGAAAGAAAAAGAGGCAAAGGGTAGTTAGTGAGCCCCACATGACGTCACATTTGAGTTGAGAGTCAAGTAGGTGGGAAGTTTTGATGTTTTAAAAAATAGTTGGTGGAAAAATTCAAAAAAAAAAACCCGTAGGTGGTAATTGCTAAAACAACAACAATTATAAGTGCGTGGTAACTAGATGAAGCCCATGCGTTGCACGGTTTGTTTGAATTTTTTAAAATGATTTTTAATATATATATATTTTTGTGCTAAAAAATTTGTTATATATTTAGATAAAATTTCTAATATCAAAAGATATTTATATTTGATTAATTTAAACTAGGAAATCTCATTCGCCAATTTTGCTTACGTGTAATCTTGTATTTAATTGGATAATACTAAAATTTATTATCCTACATGGCGCGCTGAAAAAATTAAATCCCACACAACTCTCTAAAAACTCGGGAAAAAACTCCCTTTATATTAGATATATTAGATAGATTGTCAAATTTTCCTAATTATTAAAAGGATAATGATATACAAAGCCTTAAGAAGCTAAAAAAGGAAATATTAGGAAAAGATTAACATTAATTACACCGATGTGCGCGTGATTTTGTCGTGAATTCTCAACTTAATTTCATTTTAGGAAGTATATTTAATGCTTAAACATAGCCCTAAGGGCTACATATATCATTACCCTTATTTAAAAAAACCTCGGTTTTTTTCTCTTGTAATCCCTAAAAAACCCTTATAACTTTCCCAAAATTACAAATACGGATTAATTACAAAGTATCATTATGAAAAGTAAGTTAAGGTGAATATAGTCTTTGAGTCGATTGAAATAGATGGTCGTGAAACAAATCAAACAATCACCCGAGACATCATCCTATCAACCTGTGAACCCGACACGACCTAATGCCAAGAGCCCAAGATTGCCAACTCCAGCGGTCAACTAACTCCAGTATTTTCACACCGCCCTATTAGTCCCTTACTAATCCCAACTCTGCATCAACACTTTCCTAAAATCCTTAGGTTAAATTTATTGCAAGTCTTGAACAAAGTCTCAACATGAGTCTTACTCAAGATTCTTGCAATAAACTCATCTAAGACTCATGTGAGTCTTACATGGAGTTTGGAAAATCCAAACCCATGTCAAGACTTTGCAAGACCAATGAAAATTAGTCACCTCACCAATCAAAAGTTTACAATAATTTTTTTTTTAAAAACAAAAAAAAAATATTTACAAAAAAATAAAAATATTTTGAAAAGGATTAAATGAGTTTTGGAGTGAGTCTTAGGATAATATGTAAATTTGAAAAAAGTCTTATATGAATAATAATATAAAAGTATTTTAAACTTAGTGGAAAGCTGATGGCAAGAGTCTGAAGTAAAAAGTCAAAAACCCCTTATATTGTTTCCCCCTTTTCCCTGATAATCAAACGAATTCAATTTTCTAGGGTTTGTTTTCTACGTATTCTCTCTCCATCAACCAGAGAATCTAACCTTCGCAAGCTCAACAATGGCGAGAAACGAAGAGAAAGCGCAGTCTATGCTTAATCGCTTCATCACTATGAAGCAAGACGAGAAGAAGAAGCCCAAAGAACGCCGACCTTTCTTAGCCTCCGAGTGCCGCGACCTCGCCGAAGCAGACAAATGGAGGCAGCAAATCATGCGAGAAATCGGTCGAAAAGTTGCCGAAATCCAGAACGAAGGCCTTGGAGAACACCGACTTCGAGATCTCAACGATGAAATTAACAAGCTAATTCGTGAGAAATCGCATTGGGAGCGTCGGATTATTGAGCTTGGAGGTCCGAATTACATGAAGCAATCGGCGAAAATGACGGATTTGGAAGGAAATATTGTCGATGTTCCGAACCCTAGCGGCCGAGGGCCTGGGTACAGGTACTTTGGTGCGGCGAAGAAGCTTCCAGGAGTTAGGGAATTGTTCGAGAAGCCGCCGGAGTTGAGGAAGAGGCGAACGAGGTATGATATATACAAGAGGATTGATGCGAGTTATTATGGTTACAGAGATGAGGAAGATGGAGTTTTGGTGAAATTGGAGGGGCCGGCGGAGGCGGTGATGAGGGAGATGGCGGTGGAGGAGTGGAATTTGATGGAGGAGATTAAGAGGGAGGCGAAAAAGGCAGTAAAGAGCGGCGAGGTTGCCAATGTGAAGGATATTTTGTTCGAGGAAGAGGAGGAGGTTGTGGAGGAGGAGAGGCGGGAGAAGGAGAGGCTCGAGGAGGCGGATGCATTGCAGAAGGACTTCGTTGTGCACGTGCCATTGCCCGATGAGAAGGAGATTGAAAGGATGGTTGTGGAGAAGAAGAAGATGGAGTTGTTGAGTAAGTATACTAGTGAGAATTTGTTGGAGGAACAGTCTGAAGCTAAGGCTATGTTGAATATTAATCGATAGAGGGATTTGCAGCGGCGTTGTAAGTGATTTGTACTTAAAGATTGCAATTGTTTCGAATTTTTGTTAGTTTGATGCTTAGCAAGAACTGGTTAACATATAGGTCTTTTTCTACCTTGGGCATTATTAAAATTTAGAATGTAGATTATCTATTGATATTATATTGCCATGTCTCGTTTTGTTGGTATGTTTTATCATGCTATATGATTAATAGTTGCTTTTACTATGTTGCCAATGCTATATCATTGATAGTGAATTATGCATTAGATGTCTAGATGTTTATTAGTTTGATCAAGAATTATGCAATATACGATACTGATTAAGTGATTAGTCTATGTTGATGAGCTTGTTAAGAATGATCGGCGCTGGTGGAGTGTGAATATTAGGCCAGATCAGTTATTTGGGGTTGAGAAGTTGCTAGAGCATTTTGGAATAGAAGTATAGAACCTTTTTATGTCGCATTCTGGTTGGTCTTTTGAGTGGTTTAGTCGGGTTCTTTAGCTGTAATATATTGTGCTATCCTCAGTTTTAAGTATCTGACTTGCTCTGGACCTATATGCAGTTGGACCAGCTGCTCTAGTTCTGTTTTGATGCTTGTTGACATTGTAACAAGTCAAGTGGAATGGAGTGTATTTGGTCTTTCCTCTATTTGAAACTAGTCTTCACTATTATAGGGAAATTTGAACTAGTTCTGCAGTAATCGAACTTGACAAAGCTCGTTCCTCCATTCCTCTTGACTTGTAACATCTATTTATTTTGGTTACCTGAAATACGATGGGATATTCTTAATGGGTGACATTGAATCCTTGCACTTATATTATGTTTACTTCCTTTTTTCTAGATGTGTTGATCATCCCTTTCAAGAAAAGGAGAAAGCTTACATGACTAACATGAGAGATGATTCGTGCTCTCTTCACCCATGGATAATTTCGAATGTTAACTTTCATATTGGAGAAAGAAGTGTTACTGCTTTAAGGTTCTGTAAATTGTGGACGTGGGAAGATAGCAATAACCTTTACTTGCTGCAGCACCAAGACTTTTACTGTTTCTGCTTCAGCATTCTGTGAATTTCTTTGATTTGTAGGCCTCTGATACATGGTTTTAAGAGGGAGGTATGTTTGAGGCATCGGGTTTTGCTGCTGCATTGTTTTATGAGAGTAATGATCAGTCTTTCATTCATCTGTTTCTTTTCTTTTGTGCTGCTTTTGGAGTTGCGCGTTAGACATAACGGTGTATGTAGCAACGCAAACATTTTTTTAAAGAAACAGATAAGTCAACTGTTAGGTACCCCTGCAGAAGTGTAACCAGTGTTCCAGTAAACGGTGTAGATTCTGAACCATATTACAGTATTATGAATTTACAAGTAATTTTAGACTCAACTCCTAATATTTCTCTTTGTTTAGAGTGGCTTATCCGTCCGACTCTGTAGTAATGCCTTCATAAACTGCATCTTTTGGAATCTCCATTAGGGCTGTCAAATTGGTCGTGTCGGGTTCTTGTTCACGTCGATGTTAACTATCCGATGATCATTATTGATAACAATCTCAAATGTTCGGATTCATGGGAGTAGCAAAGAGCAAGGGTCGATATTAAAGTTTCTCATAAGAGTTGCGAAGTATAACAATAAAGGAATTAAGGGAAACCAGCTAAAAATTCAAGAGACCTCCAACCCCTGTGTTTTCAATTGCCTTTTAGAGATCCTTTGTTCTTCTCCTGCAAACTCTTGATTAGCTTTATGAATTGCACAGGAGTGATACTCAAATTCGGTTGTATTTCCTTATCATCAACCTCATTATCTTTCATGTCGTTATCAGAGTCGGGATCTACGATTGTACATCCTATTCCTTTCCTCTTGTTTTATTTGTTTATTATGTTTACTCTATAAGTTCTATTATACTGTCAAGGCTAGTTTTTGCAGCTGTTAAATACATTAGTCCTAGTGTTTGTCGATGTCTGAAACTAGTAAAGATGCCCATGAACCAACAACAACTAGTATTGGGCTTTAACTTCTGGCTTAAATAGAAGAAGATGAAATTACATTGAAGTATAAAACAGTTCCATGTTCAACAATTACTGCATTTATTTAAACATTCATTTTTAATATTGCATAAGAAAAAACAGCAGATCTGGACTTCGTGTAGTTAAACTTGAGCTGATCATACGAGAATACCTTTCAGACTCTGTATGAACCCACTGATATAAGCCTCTTCGAGTCCATCTCTTAGCAAAAACTCCCTCCATTTTGCATGGTTAGCTCGTACCTCTCTTCCCACTTCATTCTCTACCTCCATGACTGTCGCCACTGCCTTACAAACTGCCTCACGAGTAAAGAAACCATCTTCATCTCTTTTCTCAATCTCCACCCCGAGTTTAAGATCAAGGCTCATCAACCTTGCATTGATAGATTGATCTACTGCGTGAGGCAGCATCACCAGTTGGCAGTCGCAAACTATAGCTTCCGACAAGGATCCAGCCCCGCAGTGTGTTAAGAAGCATCCCACTGAAGGATGTTGTAAGATCAGTTGTTGTTGCACCCAATCAATGTGAACAATACCTCTCCCCTTTGTTCTTTCCGTGAACCCTTCTGGTAAGGCTGACTCAAGCGTTGAGCACTCTGTAGGCAGCTTAAGGGCGGCCAAGAATGGTTTACCTGAGATATTAGTAATATCATCAAACAATTATTCTCTACACAATCAACTAATATATGTGGGATTGGAGTTCAGATTTTTGCTCATACTACTAGTGTAACAAAACATATACGTACCTGTTAGTTCAAGTCCTAAAACAAGCTCTTGGAACTGGTCTTTCTGAAGGAAACATTCGCTTCCAAGTGCACAATAAACCACACTGCCATTTCCGAAATCCTTCAACCAATTGTCAAAGTACTCATCAAGCTGCCCAGCTGGTAATTCTGGCACCACTGGTCCAGCAAGGAGAACAGGCTTACGATAATTCTTCTGTACAAAGTCACAATACGGCCCTTCCATCTCCCTACAAGTCTTGATACAAACAGCATCACACTGTTGGAAAGCTATCGAAACTCTTTCCAACAATGACAGCCCACTGCCTCCAAACTCGGCTTCAGATGCACCAGCCAGACTGCGTGCTTCATGGGCTCGCAGCCTGACAGAAGGTAAGGGAAATCCTGGTGGGGGCTTCTTCATTTCTTCTTCTGAGAAAGAGTTGATAGGCAGATTCCTTGGCTGAGGAAGCAGGTAAGCAACTGTCACTAGGTACACTGTGGAATAAAATAGAGACTTAACCTGATGTTTTCGGGCTATTTTAGGCACCCATTCAGTGAAGTCAAAGAAGATAAAATCAAGCTTAAGACTAGAGAGATAGAACTCAATTGTATCCTGGGTCTGGTCCATGGCTGTCATAATGAGGGGCCGAGAAGAGGCAGGCACATCTGCAGTTGTTTCAGCTCCTACGGGTAATCCATCCACAGCCGGAACTGTGATAGGAATCAAAGTGATGAGGTTCGGGTGGTGGTTGTGAGAGGTAAATCTATGTTTGGTGTTGGTTGGGAGGAAGAACGAGATTTTGTGACCCTTCTCAGCAAGTTTGTTGGCCAAGTGGAGAAAAGAAGTAATGTGACCGAAAGCATACCATGGACACATAGCTATATGCAAATGCTTGCAGTTTCCATTGCCATTGGCAATGCCATTTTCCTTGGACATTTTTCTAACGAGTATTATTTGTGCATTCTTACTTGCATGTTTTATAAGCTATCAGGCCTTGCATACAAGAGGACAGCCTTTTCACAATGATCTATATGGCATAATCAATTTTGGAAATTTATAACTGAAATGTACCTATCAATGGGAATATATTACTACCTACATTGTTATCACTTTTTTTTTATAAATATGTTTGTCCCATTTGATATTGCGCGGTGTCCAACACATAACCTTGATTAACAATATCTTTAATTACATAAATTATAATTACTACGTATAACATTTGTTACAAAATGCATGCTATCAAGATTTACCTAGTGAGTGCTAAAAATTGCTAATAATCCAAAGTACTAAAACATGTTTGATCTGAGCTTGTCAATTGTATCTTCTCATATTTAGCAACTCCATTCTTTTTGAGCCAAAATTAATTACAGCTTTTCATTGAAGCATGACAGACAAAGAAGCAATTTCCCAACCAAGAAATGAAGTGAAGAAGATGAACACTAGGGAAGTAGCGGCTGTAGCGTCAACATCAGGAAGATCTCTTTTGATATTCACCATCCAACTAAAACTTCAATTTCTGTATGCAACAGATTCAGTCCCCACATTCTAACTCGAGCTTGGTCACTTTTATTCTGGTACTTCTAGTAAAAATTCTGTTTCTTACAGTGACTTCTTAAACAGTATCTGAAACCAACACCGCGACCAAAGATAACAAAGCAATTCCAGATAGGAGATGAACAGCGGGCATGCTTTTGCGCTTGCAATTGCAACCCCCATCTTGTTAGGAATGCACTCAATGTAGGGGGTGATAAAAGCCAATTCACCACTGTTGTCATTTTATGATTTTCTGAATGTAGTAACCCTGCCAAGGTACAAAAAAAATTGGATTGGTGGGTAAAATCTCATAAAAATAGATTATTTGCACAAGCTCAAACAGATTAATTACATTTATATCCCTTCCATTTATTTATGAAATTTTGAGTACACCTTCCTGTGATCTAACTCATGCTAGGGTCAGAACTTACAGTAGAGAAACAACAGCCAATGGCCTCACTGCATTTGTCTGACCAATGCAAAATGATTATCTTGATTCAATGACATCAATAACTCCAGCACAATCACCTTCTCGGGTTTGTGGATCTTTAGACGAGGTTCCAAAAGACCTGAAGTTCAAATTATGCTCAAAAAAGGTATGAAATCAGCAAGAGAGGGCAGCAAAATATGAAGAGCAGCTAAAACATACCAGGGGACAGCTCCTTGCCACCATACAGCTCCTTGGCTATCGGATTGTTTGACCAGTGATTAACTGCCACAAGACTCGTAGGCTGGAACCCAACAATTCTTCCCTCAGGTGACAAAACAATCTGTATTCACTCGACAATTAAACCACAAGAGCCAATTAAAGTCAATTCCTCCTTGAGTCCTTTAACAAATCTATAGAAGCAGCAAATTATACATCACACTGATCACAGTACTGGTTCACCTCTACAAAAACATTTATGCCACAGTATGAGTTACTTGCCAATAAATTCTCAGCTACATGATAGGACATGTCGGTACAGATCTATGCATAACTACAGAGGGTTAGGGGAAAAAGCCCCCTAAAAGTCCCCTAAAAATTCTTGCCTTTTTTATGTCAAATGTTTTGATATAGCTTTACAAAAATTTGATTAGCATTCCAGCCTCTAACAATGAAACTAAGCATATAGTTTTACTGTTTTAGGCAAATAGCAGCCAAATCAGAAATGCAAAACCTAAGAGGACAAGCCTGTTCTCTTAAACTTTAGAAAATGAAATTCATTTAAAAAAAATAAAAATTTGATCAGTAGTTCAATGACTGCATAAGAGAAAAACACAAGAGAATCATCAAATTTTAGTTTTAATCAATAAAAATAAGATTTAATAAGTAACATTAAAGTTTCAGTAAAAACACTCTGTTCAAACATGTAGCCATTTAGCCCTAATTAAAGGGATTAAATTCATGATTTCACCATCAAATTCCTCAAGTCCACTTTATGTGAAATAACTGGCTCGGAATTTTTGATATTCATCACCGCTATAGAGTGACCGCCTGATCAAAGGTTAAGAAAAGAAATTAGCAAATGAAACATACCTGATAACTAGCAATTTCCTGGACAGACGTTTCCAGATCCTCCTTATTTGTTGCAGACACTTCAGAACTGCTAGTACTATCTTGATCAATGGGATATACTTGATGATTATACCTCAAATACATAGGAAATTCCCCAATCCAAGCTCCAACACTTGGTTCAAATGTTACTTCTCCATTCCAACCATAAGAATCCTTAATCTTTTTAACAATTGAAGAGCAATAAGCATCCAGCTGTGAAAGAGAATTATCGCTATAAGATGATATTCCCAAATCAAAAACCGCATAAACAAACTTAGACAGAGCCGAAAGAGAAAAGAAGTACAACTCATAAGAATTTTAGACGACACTTGTTGGACACAGACATCAAAACAAGAAAGTTACAAACAATTATGATTAAATGATAAACTGCAAGCATTATCAATTATTAGAAGACAATAATGATTTCTTTAACAGAGTTGCACCAATGACAGACTTCTCATAAAAATCTACGTATAAGCTTATAGACAATTACGCTATTGTCAATTTTCAGACATATACCTCAGAATCCTCTAGTTTCAGAGGCTGCACTTGTTCACAATTGTCCTCTGAGGATGGAAGCACATAATT